TTAAAGCAGGAAACTTTTCGTATCGGTACAAATCCAAATTGAAACTGTAGAACTATTCGCTCGGAAACTCGCTTTTGGATTGGAAACATTGCTAAAGTATACAATTTCCAATTTTCCATAACAATGAATTTACTCGAAAAAGTACAATACAACTCATCTACAGACTCTAAATTCGTTCCTACAGTTTTATAAATTATTTGCATACGATTTTATTAATTTCAACATTCCACAAATAGAATGAAACTCACGAGGTATTTATTTAAGAGAGAATACAGAATCGCAAATACTTTTTATTATTATCGAACTTTATTGATGGATCGTACGGTGCTGTTTGCTATTTCTTTCATACAAAGAGAAGATGCAAAGCTGAAATTCATGGATCGTTGTAACCGACATCCTGCTTTTTCTTTGAATGAAAAGTGTTCCACGATAGAATATGCATCAGGAATTATGCAAGAGCGGGGGTTATCGGGACGATTTATCTACCGAGGTTATTTCTTTCTCTTCACTCAGGCTTACGTAACCGATTTATGCGCTCTCGTGAGTTTTACAGAGAAAATCATCGTATTATTAAACCATCCTTAGGAGTGGTTCAGGATATTTTTATAGTTCCTGACACAAATCACGCCGTAATACAATATCTTCGTTTTAATGGCACAGAAAGCAAATAACTGGAATCGTTCCGATAACGGGGGGAGGGGGGGGGGTTAGGTCGTCGTTAAATAGAACAAAAAACGATCGGTAATCGAACTTAAACAACGTCTTTTCACTATCGAGCACAGCGCATGCTACAAACATACAAATGACTCAGAAACTGAAACGAACGAAGTCCACTCGTATATGTATAGAATCGTTGAATCAGCTGAATGTATTCCTCCGTATCTTTCCTTCCTTGAAGACCTATATCAAGAATTTTTAATTCAAAGTCAATCGTAATAAAAAGAAACAATCATTTATGACCAGTGAAAAACAAATTCGCATAAAACAGCTGAATTAATAAGTTCTTATATAATTAATGGATCTTCTTCTGCAATTTAGATTTATTTTCAAATTTTTAGTTAGTCTTTAGAGGAAATAATGTTACTAATACGTATTAGGAAATAATAAATGGAGTTCATTCATCTATCCATTCATTCATTCGTTCATTCATTGATTTATTCACTCATTCATACTATATATTATTTTATGTATAATTGATAATTTTTGCAGAGGTAATTCTCGTTTAGATCCCTCAATTTTTGGGTAGTCAGGTCTTTAGTTATAGCGGGCAACAGTGGTAGAGTGAGGGAGAGAAAGAGAGGTGAGCGCACGTGGATGTACCCGGCCGTGAATCGTTGAACTTTACGTAATGTGTCGCGACATTTCCAGTCAGCAATTTATATTGATCGGACAACATTCGTAACACATTCGCCGTTTGTCGACTACTATCGTAGTTTCCGATACGGTGCTCAGATTACATCGTCATCGTAGTACATGAATCGTTTACATTGCCGTTCGTTCCCTCTTACCTGTTTCCTGTAACGCGAGTACACTCGAAACCCGTAATAAAAGAGGTTGTAGACTTAAGAGGCGGGGTAAACCAGGGTTGCTGTCCCTTGCAATTTCAACAATAAGATTCATGACGACAAATTGTGAACTCCTTGCACCAATGTATTTTCGAGTCGTTTAATAGTTTAATCAATCAGAGGAATATAAAAAGTATTTTAAAAAATTTCAAACTCGACTTATTTTTGTGTAAATAATTATTTATAACTAATAAAGTTGCTGATGCATATTTTGAGTCCGGTTAACTAATAACCGACTATAACTAATAAACGACTTGAAATTATATCGGTACGTCACTAGATTTACAACTTGACATTATGACTCCTAACAATAAGTAGTGGAAGTGCAGGTAGCTCTGTTATTATATTAGAGTTCTTATGTCTCGACTATACCACGTGCGCGTAGAACCGTAATCGACCGAGATGTAGTTGTACAAAAATTGAAGTTACTCCGTTCTCGCAGGAATTAAAGATTTAATGGTAGATGGTCGTCCGAACGGATGTGGCTGGTTTGTGGAAATCCTTAAAATCTGGGTGGGTCTACTGGTCGTTACATTCGGATCACGGCACAACCGTCGACGTCACTAACCCGCATAAATCTATGCTATAACGATATCGAACAGTGACGTAATCTGACGTCCGTGATCGGAATATTTCGTGTCATTTATTTATTACCTAAACGGTACAGAGGTGTGAGCATCATTCAAATCAAAATTCAATAAGTCCACGTTATGTCCATGTCTGCGCGAGATCAAACATTTTCTTTGACCATTGAGAATGAGGCGAATGCATTCGCTCTGACGATCAGACGATAAACTTCCTTCAAGTGTAATGAACAGTACTACTTAGAGATAATGTCGTATGTATTATACATGCGAATGATAACCAATTTTCGGCATCTGACATAATACGATGAGCTTATTAAGAATTACAAAAATTATAAAACGTTTGCACTTAATATTTTTCTGTATAATTCCTCATAAAATTGTTGGTCCATGTTATTCTATAAAACACCTCGGATTCACACGTTAATTTGCCTTCAAATTTCCCTTGTTTCACGGGTATGTATGTATTAAATAGAGAATATGAAATTACATGGTTTGAGAACGTTTGCATAAAAAACATGAAGCATAAAAGCTATACCAGAGGCTTGGGATAAAATAAATTGAAGAAGACTGCTTTGAAAGGCGTTCTCCATTTCTCCAAGAATTTCACCAAGGATCAGATTTAAAATTCGAATAAAGAGGTTGCCGCACTACCAGGAAATAATGTTAGCATTTCCGTCTTTTAAAGCTCTATTTCACTGGAACGGAAACCTCTTCTTAATATACATATGTATTCGCACTTGAGTTCGCAGAAATTATTAGTACTGCGTGTAATATATAGGACTATTCCAACATAAAAATATCAATGCACATTCCATTGTTTAAATACTAAAATAATAATCTATCAGAGACACGTATTTAAATATATAACCATAAATGTTTTATTTGTAATCAGAGTCTGCTTATCATCAATTCTTAAATCTTAAAATTCGAAGGATAATTAAACACCAAATGTTATTTACGTTTGTAAAAGATATTCGAAAAGGATGGCTTGAACTTTATGATAATTCTTGACTGTCACATTCAATTCGTTCGCGTCGTACTTTATGCACCATTGTCACAACGATGATTATCTTCCAAGCCATTGTTCAAATCGCGTAAAAATGATTGTCAACACGGAGGTTATTCGCGCCGTGCTCGGTTAGATAATTTGCAAAGAAATAGAAAAAGGAGAGCGCAGCGATAGGATCTAATTGAGAGAGCACGTGCGCTCGAGGGCGGGCGCTCGGTATAGCGAGCGTGCCGTTTATCAATGCGCATTGTAATAATTTTCATTTATCTGAACTGCCCGCTTATTATTGCGACAATTATGCGTCAACCGGCCGCACGGAAAATTTCTTTCTAACTATATCTACGTGACAAACACTCGCCGCGAATGTTCGTGGCAACAAATTGCCTATTAAGCATTTTAAAATCATGATACGATATTAATAACTAAATTGGAACTTATATAAGGAAATTTTTTAACGAGTATCGAATGTGACGTGAATTGGTTTATAATTTAAATTCATACAATTTTTTATATTTAGCACGCCAGGTTAAATTTTCCTTTTTTCAAAGATTTACTATTATAAGGACGAAAATTGTATTCTCGTATTCCGATATTTTGCCAGGTATCGAAAAATCACGTAATCTATCCTAGTTAAGGTATAAACGCTCTCTCATTAAGTAATTCACTTCATTAATTCATTATACTTTAAGTATAATTAGCAATTTAATTTCCAATATCTATTAAACGTTCCTCGCGTAAAGCTATTAAATGTTACTGCTACTAAATGTTTGAGCAATTATACGGCTCAGGCAGATAGGTCTAATCTTTAAACGCTAATTTCAAAGCAACGAGAGGACTAGCATAGGCGGCTTTCTCTAATTCACTCGGTTTATTCGGAGCAATTCCATTCCAGTGAATCACGGTTACGTTCAAATTCCGTCTCCGTGCGAAAGGAGCACCCAGGGTTCGGAAATGCGCACGCGGTCGAACTTTGCCATTAAAATGCAGCCCCCGGTGAATATCGAGCTGCTCAATTATCGGGACGACCGCATCCGTGTCGCGTGAGTTCGTCAAACATTTGTTCAATTGAATCTGGCTATTTCGCACCGAGCACTGCGGAGCCAAGCGTTGATGATAATTCATTTTTAACACACGTGCAAAATGTCGAGTGCATTATTTAAAATACCATGTCTGGCGAAAATGTATCATGGGAAAGTTCGGAATTATGTATTATTTCATTATTTATACTCGAAAAATATAAAAATTGTTCCGATAAACGCTGAAAGGTCTAACATTAATATTTATTCGAAATCATTCAAATAATATTTGCGGGGAAGGTCAGAAGTTCGGGCGAGGGCCTGTGAGGACATTTATAGATTTTTTTCGGCGGCCTCGCATTATGCAAAAAGCCCATGAAAGCTCGTATCTACCCCGAGGAGGATGAGATTCGAAGGAAAACAGGAGACGCGGCGATAACGCATCACCGCACCGCAGGGTGTTAGAACGCCTACGCGTTTCAAGCCGCACACGTATCGCCTTGTACACGCACACACTCACACGTAACACCTGAATGTGTACCGAATTATTGTTCACCAAATAGACCGTGAGACGCATACCTACGTGACAAACGTTTCCCCCCCATGAACTTGGAAAGTTGATTCTGTTGAATGGAAGGTCTTCTAAGAAAATAAAGTACGTTTTCTGCTTAAGGAGAATTTGTCCTCTTTTAACAGAAAAAAAATTTTTGTTTTACAGTCTTTAAATAGATGTATAGGTTTCTTGATTTTTTATAAGAATACTACATTTGAGTCTATTAAAATTGCAATATTAAATAATTATTTTTATTAGAATACACGTGTTTATTATATTTATATTTGATAAAATTATAATAATTTCGAAGGTTGCTAATGATTAGCTCTGCACAATAAGTTTGCAAAACGTCACGTTGCCTGCAATTATCCGACGGCATTCAAGAGGACTCATTTTTGCTTTATCAAGTCTACCGAGTCCCTCGGTAATCTTGAAACATCTCCGGGACCACGTTGCAGGACATGCCCAAATTAGTTTCAATTCCCAAGAAATCCAGCGACTAGCAGAGACGCCCGTAAAAGAGGGTGTTGTATCACAGCGAGAATTAACTAGGCGAGGATTCTGGCTGTAAATAATATATAAAAAAGGACAGAATCAAGAAATCTCCCTTAGTCTCTGACCGAGAATTAACCGAGCATCTTGCGATGAATGTTGGAAATACCTGACTTGATTCCCTTCACCTTTTGTGTAACTCCTCTGTCTTCTCTTCCTTCCAAACTCGTTCGCAACAGTTACCGCGTTTATTTCACGCATCTCACGAAGAATTTTGTTACGTCTTCATTAGCAAGAAGCTCGACCCGTACATTCCAGATTGTACGCTTGTTTGATTCGCCATTTTTTTCAAGTTTAATTAATTTCTATTAATATCCAATTTAGTCGACTTATTTTATAAAATGACACTTTTAAATAATCGGAAGAATCTGAAACATAAAAGTATTTCCAAATGTAATAACAAATAATGCCAATAGGAAACGCGAAGATTGGATGTGAGATTGGCATGCTCGAAGTAAATACTTATTTCGAATCGCAGATAAATTTGCCTGTATTCGCGTTCTTCGATAATAATTCTCGTTTCAATCGCAGATCCCTTCTGATAACACGACCTGCGTATCGTTCTATTATCCTCGGTAAAGGTTACCAGGTTAAACGATGATTTAAGATTCAACCGACGCACACTATTCGGTCTGAAGTAACAATGATCTCCGCAATACTGCGGCCCAGCTGTATAACCGTGAGTGGGCTTTCGTAAACTTTCGATGATATTTCCTGACTACGCCGCCGCACCGCCGTTAGACCGCGCCGTGGGAGTTTCATCGCGGCTATTACTCATTATCTCAATAACTCCCAAGGAGAAGAAGGTAGGTAAAAAATTCGAGGAACAAGTTTGCCCGCGACGAGAAACAAAAGGAACAACGAGGGGGACACGAAAAATATTCAAGGATATCAGGACAACGAAAAAGTTTCCCTCTGGCCTCATTTCTTATTTGCTTCTTTTTTAACTTCTCGTTCCTAGTTTGCTAATAGAAAAGTTCCCGAATTGCTCTCAGCGATAAATATTTTGCAGTGACGTACCTGTTTTTCTCATCGAGTCTACCTTCTCAGATTATTACTGATTTACTACGGAGACGATAATTGGTGGAAAAAAATATCTATTTATAGCAAGCTGTTGGGACGCGACAATTCAAATCTAAGCTTCAGCTTCTCATAAAATAGCAGATGGAGATTTTCTTTCAAGCTCTCGTTTCATTTTCTGCATTTGCATTGCAGACTGCATCTAAATGTTCGTTGAGTGTGCAGTGAGATTGAATGCAACCTGAGCTCCCTGACACTGACGATATTAATAACCCCTTTGGGCACAAAATGAATAAAGGTCAAAATAAAACGATAAATATACCAACATTTCCACGGAACTGTAGGTATAAATCATTACCGTGAAACTTTCATTTGCCTGTTGCGACTGCAACGGTATTAAGTGGTCAACGTACTTTAATCTTAGACAAGATTATATTTATTGTACTGCGGATTATATATATTTTTTCATCCTCGAACCGTTTTCGAAAAGTCAATGCGACCCAAAATACAACTAATAAATTAATAAAAGCTTCGTTCATTACTGGTTCAATTTCATCAACACGTAATTCGGCTCTAATTCCGCGATTCCGCCCCCGCGTACCATCAAAAACGCAGGCAGCCTTGATCCCGATGAGACTAGCAGCGAAAATCGTGACCGCGGTTTCTATTTCGGGCGACGAAATCGCCGGCACAATTAACACGTACCAGGTATAATGGAATGGAATCAGAGCGCCTGGAAACCGCGGTTAAAAATTCGAGCCACGCCTTGGTCAGCTCGGCCGTACAACATATATGACATATTTCATATAATCCTGTATAATGTTTCGTTTACTACAGTAGAGCTGGTATTTTAAAATAAATTCAAATTTATTGTATGTGTCACAATAATTAATTTACGTTGAAATCGTCGATATCAATACATCATAAACTGGTTTCATTATTTCTTTTTAGCTATTCCAGAAGGATTGACGGATATATTCGTCGAACGCAAATCGTGCCTCTAAACCGATTGACGTATTTTTCCAGAAAGTAACACGACTATAGTTAGAGAAAGTTTCATACTTCTAGTGTTTAATAATTAATAAATTATACGTTTCATTGTGAATCGTATTACGGTGGAAAGACCTGTATTTATTCGTCTAGAAGTAGTTAAACGTAGGGATAAAAATGACGAATGGCATACCTGAATAATTATTCTTTAGTATAGACGTAAAGAAGAGGACAGAAAAGAGGGGCGAGGACAGTTTTTCATACTGGCATGTGTATATATACTCGTTTCATCGTGCCGGTCTTAATTTCGCATTTTCTAGATTAAACTATCGTGTTGTGTGCGACGACGCGGCAATGTAACGTGAGCTGACGAAAATAAACGCGTCCGCCGCACGCAGTAGAATATGCCTCTCATATGTCAGACACGCGGCTGATTTAAATTTACGAGCACCGAAAAACGTCTGATACGCTTTCGCGATTTAGATTAAATTCCGTACTTTATGAAAGGCCGACGTACGTGCGTATGAGTCAGTACGTTCCTTCGTTTATCACAAATGAAGATAAACAAAATTGTTAAATTAAGTTAAACTAGAAAATGTGAAAATGAATTGAAAATACGCACGGATAAAGAAATTAACATTTTTAAAATTCCAAATAATGAACAGACTTAAGAAAAAATGAATAAAAAATGCAATTAATTTATAAACAATAGACAAAGGGAAATATGTTTAAGATTCTCACTAAAACTATGAGGATCTAAAGAGAAATTATTTTTTCAGCATATAAAGTTTCTAGTCTCGCGTCAAGGACTCTTTAAAATTTCTAAAACGGTCCACTTGAACTTTACACCGTCCCTCATTCTAAGTCCTTAATTTTTCTTATCAGCATCTCTTCCTTGTTATTTTAGTAGATCTTATAACAAACTGCTTTTACAAGGTAGTTTAAAAATTCTTGTTTAAGGTGAAATTTATTTTTACCTATCGGATTTGTAAAGCTGAGACAAAACACGTCTATCGTGTCGTAATGTAACATGAATTAGAAATTAATCAATTAGTATCATTAAAACGAGGTGAAATAATCTTTGTTCGTTTCATTCTTATGCCCGTCGACGACTTACACTGCTGAAGGGTCTCTAGAGTTTTACATCGTCAGAGGGTATGGATTGAAGTAAAGCGTTACGAAATAATTCCAACGTGTTGCGTTCGCGTTCTATGTACAGTTCCGTGACAGTAGCCAATATTTACAGCAAGATGCGACAGCCTAAATGGCACTTGCGAAACGATGAATGCAAGCACATCAGGTTATTGAATACGTCTGCCGGTGTTCGCGTGGAATTGTGCAATCTGACGTCAGGTCACTCGGAGGTGGACATGCGCAATTATGGCACTTGTTAAACCGTGCCTTTTCGCCGCCAACTCCTCCGCCTCTTTTGACTTTTTCTTCATTTTATGTCATTCTACGCTACCTACCTCCCTTCATCCCTCTTCCAGTTTTTGTAATTAATCCTCAAGTATATTTACACGCAACTGCTGATATTTGACATGATTTCGATTCAGTACAGAATAATTAACAATGCATTTTATGCAAACAGGGAAATATGCGATTATCGGAATAATTATTAAATTAATCTATTTAAGTGAGCCAACTGGTGAGAAGTCAACATTTCGTTTAATTAAGAACCGTTATTACGTCAATAATAATTAATCAGTGGATATAACTATTTCGAAAATAACTCCACGAAACTTGTATTAAAATATGAAATCGATAATTGCACGTAGATATTGGGAATCGTTTATCTTTAAACGTTACATGTTTATTATGCAAAATGCTGAAATTGCTAGTCGTTAATATTCACGCGACAGCGATAAATCACTATGACCCAGCGTCAATGGAAGCGACGTTCCCATCAATCTCGATTAAATTCATAACGAACCGTGGAAATTAGTAGTCGCGATTAACATCTCCGTACGGTTATTAATTAATAAAACCTATCGTAATTAACTAGGTGGTCGCGCGTCAAGTATTTCATCACTGAATGTAATTTCCCAAACGTAATGCAGTGCGTCCGGTGGCGATAGAAAAAGCCGTGTTAATAGTGGCAGAATATGCAATGTCGCGGTGATTGAAAAATGAATCAATCGAGGATTGCAAGCAAGCGTGAACGCTTCGAAGGCGGCGATATCTCATTACCTTTGAAAAACAAATTAAAAAGGAGTCGATCACATCGTGCGCGATCGACAAATTAAAAGTTCCCTCCGTTGTTTCAACCCGTTCGTTTATAATAATCAAATCGAGTGAAAGTGACGAGTTCAAGCATAAAGCTTCGAGCTCGGCACTGTTGCTAATTGATATAGTAGAAACAATAGCTTCAATGAGATCGTTCGTCTGGCAAAAATAATTTTAAATCACAACCGGCGTGAAATCACCTCGCACGTGATTGAAATGTATTTTAGAAATATGCAATCAATTTCAGAGAAAAGTTTACTCATCCAAATAATAGAAAATGAAAATATTGATTCAACTGTGTATACGAGATAGCATATTCTAGACATGTAAGATTGGAAATAGTTAAATACACGTGTAGTCGATAAAAATTTTGAGCTCGGTCTCCTCGAAACTGAAGCCCCGAGCGTAAAAGTATCACCCCTTCTTTTGTTCATTTTTGCACGAGCCATACCATCCGCCCATTACTGTCTCACCCCACGCACGTATTACATATTTTTCAAATTGTTGAAACAAGGCATCGAATTATTCTATTTTATTCATTTAAATCTGTCCATCAGATTTATGTCTCAAATATTTTGATACGTGCGAGTCATCTATCAGCATCTCGTGTTTCATGCTAAATTTCTTAAAATAGACTCTCTTTCTCTCTGGATTCATATTTCGTGTGCCAGTCTAAGCGAACGAATTAATTAAATCCCACCGCTACTTTAATTGACCCGTTCCTACACCTACACACGGTGTAAACCACGTTGTACGGAAGGTTGCATTAATGTACGCCAAGAACCAGGTACATTTCTTTCCCTTTTCTTGCACGCGCCTTAGATAGGGCGAGCGCGCTTAGTTGCCATAAAACGCCCACCAGACCGTGGTGATGACGCGATCAATGACGATCTCCCGGAACGTAGCTACCCTACCCTATCCTACCCTACCTCTCCTGTTAATCTGAAAATTTGTTTTCAAGTCGACCACGAAGCCCGGCTGGAAGCCCGGCACTTTATAAAAAAGCGTTAATGGCATTGTCGATGGCTGGGCTCTAGCTTTTCCTGGGACTACAATTTTTATGGTTATGGCCGCTACTTTCAGTGAGGATGCCTCCGTGAAATCGATACCACGCGCGATGCGAAAACTCTGGCTCAATTCCCTCTTTAAGGGTATTTAAGGGAAGAATTACTGCTGCTATTGATGTTACGCGTCTATTGATGTACTTTACAACGTACTTTATGATACACTTTGCACTATACCTTTTTTAACTTATGTATTTTACTTATATACATCACACAATACGATATATAATAATATATATTATATTTCATATTCCTTATCAAATTTATTAATCAATTTCGTTTCTATTTTGATTTAGTTTTATTCAGTTTAGATATGATTGTGATACCAAATCGGATTCTATCTGAGCGTTTACAATTAATCTTTCCCATTTTGCAAAATTCTGTACATGTATATACATATAACGTTATATCTTGAAATAACTTAGAATAAAAGTATCCATGCTATTAAAAATAATTGTCAACCATACTCCTGTTTCTTCATCATTCTCTGTACCCACCGTACGTTATATTATTTTTCTGTTTGCTTGGACAGAGACTGTCAAAACGGACTAATGAACGCGGCATTCGTTCGCGGTCAACGCCGACTTAGTTTCACGTTCTCTCTCAAAACATCGGCGAGCGTATTCTGCTCGTTTGGCATTTAGCATTAATGAAATACTATGCTAGAGACGGACGTTTATCCGGAAAGCGACGCCGGTTTTCGCTAAGAGAATGTGCTCGTAGAAAAAGTTAATTGAATTCATACGAGGCAAATTAAAATGTGATCAGGAGGTACGAGCGTGTCGGGATAATTCATGCCGAGGAACAGGATATTTGTATGAAGTACACGAGCGGCTCGCGAACGTAACACGTTTGTTGATAAATAATCGACGCGAGCGGATTGCATTTTGCAACGCGCGAAATTTCTGATAAAACGTTCGTATTACGATTTCTCCAAGCCGAGGTTTGCATTCGACCAGGCACGTACCCGATTGAAATTCTTTGGGAAATATGTGCATTGAAGTCTACAGCTGTTTTTAAGTGGTCATTCATAAAATTATCATGCTACTGGGAATAAAAGTTATTTGTTTATAATTTTCTTTATTTATCGAATTTAGAAATTTGTTTATATTATTATTCTAATTTTTACAGGCACATTTTTAATGTACAGCTTGGGACAATGATTCCTGGTAAACTGCAAGTAACGTCAATTTCTTCTAAGAGTTTAATGTTAATTACTCGGCGGATTTATTATACTTAACTCGTTAAATATCGAAATTAGAAGAAAAACAACTTTTATTTAAAGCATTTTTCGAAATTTTGACAAAAAAAAAATTTTTCCATTTTTTCGAGATTTTTCAAGGGGTACCCCTTCAGATTTGGCAAAATTTTCGTTTTTTGCTAATAACTTCTAAACCGTTGGTCCTACGATAAAATTGTATAAGACCTTTCTTGTAAAGAACGACGAGATCTACAATTTCCATGTAAAAACTTTACGCTAGCGTCAATAGTTTACGAGTAATTTGCGAAAAACTGTTTTTTCGTTTTTCGTCGATAACTCGTGAGCTATTAACGCTAGCGAAAAATTTTTATACAGAAATTGTAGATCTCGTCGTCCTCTACAAGAAGGGTCCTATACAATTTTCTCGTAGGGCCAACGGTTTAGGAGTTATTGAGGAAAAACGAAACTTTTTGCCAAAAGTTGGCTGTTTCGACGGTGGGATGGTCGGATTTTGTCCATGTCAATAAAATGCCAAATAATCATACGTAACTCGTTGAATACTGAAGTTAGAAGAAAAATTCGTAAAATCTTTCTTGTAGAGGACGTCAGTGCCTGCAAAGTATCATTGTCGCAAGTTGTATATCGTAAATAATAACAACGATATTAAAGAGGTAGAAATGTATGATTACATTACGAAATAACAACAGAATGCATTTATATTTTTGAATTTTGGAAAAGGTTGAGTACTATATCGCATTGTATCGTATTATATTAAAACAGTACGAAAAGCCGAGATCTGGAGCACAATGGGGAAATAGTATCTGGCCGCTTATGGACCGCCTGTTAGATACGACGTTAGACAGAAACGTCGCAGAAACTTATCGATGCCTTTATGTAACTTAACCACGCAGTATTTGATAATAACGTAATTCTCTTACTTTAAAGACTTCGTCTTCTACATATAGATTTCGATACAATTTACCATAAAGGAAATGAATTTGGATCAAGTTTAAATAAAACGCAACAAGAGAAGTATAGGATTGAGAGAAAATCATTTCTGTTTCCTCCCTTGCCTTTAACCGCGAGTGTTTTATATCAATGCAAATTTGCAAAACGTTAATAACGTCGTCCCTTTGTCTACAAGAGAAGCCAGGATCACAAATTTCAATAAAAAAGAAGAGTCGGAGAAGCCATCTTGGTGAACAATAAAAAGACGGAAATGATAGCAACTGTGAATATCTGAGAGGTAAAGGCGCGTTGCGACCCGTCGTGCCACGAGAGCATAAAAAGCAAGAAAAGTCGGGTAAAGCGATCGCTTTGGAATGAACGTCTACCTGGCATAACCTTTCAGGGATAAAACTTCCAACTGAACATACATATGTACATACATATATCCGCGTACATATATATAGACGGAAGGGATATCTGGCTTTCTTCCCCGTTTTACGAATTCTCGCCGGGATTTTCCTTTTGTTGCCAAGGAAAAGAGGAGCAGTTATTCATTTTGTACATGTCTTAAGGAAACAGTGAACGTTTATTCCGTAAAGTGACCGAGGAAATTGTTACGTGATCATTCCCGGGATTAGCATCTATTACGTAAGTAAGGTACGGAATCTTGAAGGAAGTTTCTTCTTATCAATATGCCGAGTATGGTAAACCCTCCCTATCAAAATATGGAAGCCCGGTTCCGCGAGATAGGTATGGAAATAGGGAAACTTGGTCAAACTGTTCTAATTATTGAACTTTACGAGTACTTTGAAACATGTTGACACCTCGTTTACCGCGAAGTCATTTCCGAGAACTCGGCACACTGTGAAATCTGATAAGTCGACGATTTATCAAATAGTAACCGCGATTACGTTGTAGAATTCTCTAAGAAATTAACGAATAGCGAACAATTATAGTTAAGAACAATTGTAACTTCATTATTCAATCTGATAGCAATCGAGAAATTGCAATAGTCAATTATCTTGATTTATTTAAACGAATGAACATATTTTAATATCGTGAAGAAAATTCTGTGTATCAAAAATAATGTACATTGCAATTTGCTATCTGACTTTAAAGACATTTCAGTGACACGCATTAAGAACGTTGTAACAATCCCAAGTACAAAAGCGCGATAGTAATATGAGAAACAGTTGACAGTAATTCTCAGCCCTGCGGCGAAGTCTATTAAAGTCCTATGCATTAACCTAATCATCCATTGTTTCGTGGTATTAAATCCCACCTAGAGACGTCTATCACAGCGTGCCGCAATCGTTCTCGCCTATTTCCTTATGTACTTTCGTGAAAGCAAAGTAAATAACGATTACCGCGCTTTGTAAAGCGTATGCAACGCTGAATGGTGATGCTCATCAATCAAAGCTAGACGTGCTTCGTGCGTCGCGTCGGGATACGTATTCCCAATACGAACGTGTTCGCTCTTGTCGCGTAAAACACGTTTCAACGTCATAAAGTTTATTCACACTGTCGTAACACAGATCAATGCAGCTTGAATGGGCGTTGTGCCGCCGTACGTCGAATCATTTTTCAACTGATCCGATATTTCATACGTAAATGCAAGTATATAAATTCTGATGAGACCCATTCATCAGGTAGAATTTGTAACGCTAGCCAAATAACTTTAAACGGGAGAAATGATGTTGCCTGTCTACAAACCGAAAAGTTCATAGTTTACATAATAATACAAACTATTCCACTAAAATGTAATTCTGTATTGTTTTCGAAATCTCCTGACACAGAAGTTCGACGCTTTTTAATTTTGCGTTACCCATTGAAATTTTTAAGAAGAAATTAGAATCTCAAAAGCGAACTTTTTAGATGTTTCTTTGCATCTCTCCATGATTGACAGCTGTTAATTTTACTCAGGAAAACTGTACTGGTATCCGAAAGATGTTTGAAGCGAGCTTATTAAAATTTTATGATCCGCTTTTGGTACTGACTCGCGTACATCTCAACCGGCGTTAACAGCTGTTAAGCTCGCCGAAACGTTGCCTGAATCGAGCAGCCAGCCCACGCATCTCCAAACTCATACAATTAAAAACCGACCCCTACAATCCCCAGACACCGGTTACGTCGCACACAACACCGAGATTCAAAGAGCACATTAAAGAACAGCGAAAGAGAGAGACGGATTGGCTGAAGATAGAAAGACAGGGAGTGATAAGAATGAAAGAAAAAGGCACAAGTGTTAGCAGGTGTGTGCGTCTCAATGCGGAACGGAAGCGTGAACGATGCATGGGGTGGCCTGGGCCGGGTTGCCAGCAAAGAGGAAAAGGGAGAGGACGAGGGTAGACCGGGGTTGAGAAAAGAAGATCGCCGATAAGGGTGTCGGTGGTGGGGTGGATGCGCGGTGTATTAGACCCGGTGACTCTTGCCGCGCAGCGTGGGAGTTAGTTCTGGTGAGGGCGCCAGCCAGCTCACTCGCTAAACTAACCCACCGTCCCAACCCTTCGATCCTCCATCCCTCGACCTTCGGCCAACAAAGCAACATCCACGGCCGCAACCTCCTTTTCACCGACTCCGCCAGTAGCCGCCGTTTTTTCGCGACTTCTTGCCCCGGCCAAAAAGGACACGAGACCCGGCTGGTGACGACAACGCTTCGGTCATCGCGTAAGACACGGGCACCCACGTAACTACCCGCTTCGCGTCTACCCAACTGAAACCCAGAACCACCAGTAGAACTCCGCTCGGCGAGGCGAGCATGCGACGGTAGAAAAGAAGCCGATCGAGGAGGAACGTAGCTCGTCGTAGACAGTGATCGTTGTCAACTAGGAAGCGAGGGACGATCGGGAGCTATAAACAAGTCGAAGAGGATCGGCTTTCTTTCAAGAAGTCGAAGAGTTTTAAGAAATCGCGCGAGGAATCGAGCCGGACGTCATCGTCGTCGGGAGGCCGGACAGAAAGCTTCTCGAACGAGTGTTGAGAAACTGGTGTCCGCACCATATTGTGTTTACGTGATCGGGGAACAGGTGTCCCGGCCCGTCGGCGATGACCGAACTTGGAAACGTGGTGCTCGCGACAGGGGAAACGATCTAATTCTTCGAGGATCACGAGCGAACTAGGAACGAGTACATCCGAGGACGTGGTAAAACGCTGCCAGTGCCAGTCTCGAAGAGTTCGTCAGGAAGATCGGTTGGGGGCTTCGAGGAAGTGTCATGTGTAACAGGGAACGGAGGAGTTGTGAGACAAGGACAATTGTCTGTTAACGAATTGCATGAGAAAAGGGTCCAGGAGAAGCCAGAGAAGGTTTCGCAGCAGGCAGTCACAGAAGCAAGTATTTCGCACAACAATAATAATAAGAAAAAGAAACGAAAAGCTATACACGTTAAGGCGCGCTTGTTAAGCTACACACACGTATCGGCACTCTGAGTAATGCTCCGCAACTGCACCCTTATCCGATAATTTCTCTCTCTCTATATATATACATACACCTGTGCGTGCATATTATATATTACATGTCTACACGTCACACTCTCTCTTTCTACATACACCTTTTTGTTCTCTGTTCTCACACGCGTCGTCTGTGTCGTGTCAAACGTCTACCTATCTATGATCGATGTGTGTGCGTGTGCGTGTGTGCACTGTGTATTTACTTGTTCACCGTTTCCGCTACTTCGAGTGTCACGAGCGACCAGCTGCGTCGACTAATTAATACCCTTTCCCCCTTTCACACCGGGAAAGTACGGTTTTGCACATTTTTCGGGCACCTGTTGATCTCTCTCGTACTACATAGCCACTTTTCCGCACTCTAAAGTTGTCCGGGGAATTCGATGTCACATCTTTCTCTTTCTATCTCTGCACGCCGTCTCGCACGTAGAGAATGGCTTCCTCGCACCGGCACCAAAAAAGCACCGTGTCGTGAAAACCGCTGAACAGCATGGAAACCGATTGGAACCGGCCTCGACTCGATATCAGTAAATGTCACGGTTGCCTCCTGGCAAGCGAGTAGAACCAGCGGGGGAGCCGGACGGATCGGCAGCGTTCCTCGCGGAATCCCGGAACTTGGAACTTGCCGTGAAAACGTGTTCGAGAGACAGAGGGTGGAGCACTTAGCATGTTAGCATAAAGGTCGATCGTTCGATTCGATAAGGGGAAGCAATCGTCATGCGGGGAATAGGAAGAGGCGGCGAGGGTGAACCCAGAAGGCCCAGGAGAAAGATAGTCGAATCACGAGCACGTAACCATGGCCGATCGATCGGGTTTCATTGTTGCCCGCACTGTGCACCTTGTTACGAGCACCTTGAAAGCATCTGCGAGCACCGCTGGCACCGCCGATCACCCTCGGCAGACAATAATTAAACGAGACACACGCGCCAGCACCCTCATCATCATCACCACCAAAATCAACCAGCACAGGCTGAAAGATCTGTCGTGTTTTCTTTACACTAACGACCTGATTTTCAGGACGCGGAAATCGTCGAGTGCCTGACTCAGGTTGAATCAGCGTTGGGAAGGAATTTTGCGGGAAATGCGGGGCTAGCGAAATCCCGCGGGAACCGTGGATCAAACCGAGTCGAGAACAGAGAAAGGACACGCGCGCCCCTGCGTGCCTGCGTGTGTGTGTGTGTGTGCTCGTCCTTTTTTTCTCTCTTGCCCGCTCCTTCCCACCGTGAAGAACGCTTAGACGTTCGATGAGAAAGCGGACGGTAGCTGGGAAACGGAGAACGAGAGTAACCGAACGTGTTTAAGAATCGTCGTCTCCCATGTGACGAAGCCTACGCGGTTATCGATTGATCGCCGGTCATCGCTCATCGTCCGCGTTTTCTTCCCTCGCTCGCGTCCCCCCCACCCTACGAAGTCGTTCTTCTCCTCCCCCGCACAGCTAAACGAAAAGTCGGCCTAAAACTCAGAGTTGTGCCTTTCAATTGGCGAGCAACCATTGGACGTGCAACCTGTAGCATCGCGTTCGATAGAAGATCGGCGCAGAGAGGAAATAGACTAAAGAAACTAGAGATACAGAGGAAACGATCGAAGCTGAGAAACGGTGAAAGAAGCGAGCGATCAACCAAACCCGGTTGAATCCCGGTGAAACGCAACGCATACATATGATGGCGGTTTGCATGTTCTGGCTTCTCACGTACGTGGGACAAGGTCTGGACCTGGCCGTCGGCAATCGCCCAGTGATCGTACCGCAGGACCAGCAGGACTACCGGCACGGCGGTATCCGTAGGAAGAGCGAACTGAACTCAGTCGGCAATAACCTGTTGCTACTCAACCCTGACGCGTCGTCTCGCCGGGACGATCTTTCCAATTGGTTACTATTGAACGAAGAGATGCGGATGTCGTCGTGGACGCCGTACTTACCGTTCATCGACGATATGATGAGGGATTCTAGAGAGACGATGTTGTTCGCACCGGCGATGATGAACGTGCTTAACTCGAAGTACGCGAACACCGGCACGCAGCCAGGCGAACCGGTCGGCGGCCCGTTGCTGAGTCCGCGTGGAAAGAAGCTGAGGATCGATTGTAGACATTCGAAGAATATGGTTAGCCTGCCTATTATACTTTTAAAACAATGCGACGAGGAGACTGGCCGGAGGAGTGTCCAGGCGGAAACTAGACAATCGCTCTATGACGATCTATTCGATCAGAAGATGAGCACTATAGGTGCGAACCTGAAGACTGACCCGAACTCGAAGCAGCGGGATTATCAGAACGGGCCCGCATTCTTGCCGAGGCTGCCGTTCGGTTTCGACAGAGGAAAGAGGGGCCAAATGCCTGTAGGGCGTCGCTCCATCGCCGTCCCCGGAGAGTCGAACCAACATCTAGCTCAACCGCCGTCGTCCCCCGGGAACGGCATCAACATTGCTTCTCAACTTATGCTGAGATCCATCAGGGGAAGCATACAATTCGATGTCCCACAAATCGGTGAGTCTGACTATTAATCTTCCTGCCGTTTCTATGGATAATTGGAATTGTTTGTGGATGCTCGAGCCCTGGTTGGTTAGTTAGATTAACCTGGATTAAGTAGATTTCGTCTCACCTTTGCAATATAACTGCGAATATGCGATCGATACGCGCTTCAACTCGCCTCTATTATTGTTGAATAGAACAATTATGCTCAATCAAGTTTCGGATATAATCTGTTGTCATACGAAATATACGTTTGATGTTTTGACATAAAGTTAGAGACATCACAGATGTACTTGAGTGAAAATTACCATATTCAGTAATTAGTGCCAAATGTATGCAACGAATTAAGGTAAATTAACTGCTAAGAGAAGATATGATCGTAAATGATAGTCGAAAGATGGGGTTGTTAGGTTCTGTTATTTTTCTTTAAAATATTTCCATGTGAAATCCATCGGTCCACTAATCCATAGTTTCGTCGAATTTAACAAAATTCTGTGATCGATCGAAGTACGTCAATAAATTACCAGGGAGAGGCTTTATTCAATATGGTAATAGGAAATAAGTGAGTAAACTGGAAAGAGAAAAATAAGATTGAAACGAGAAATAAGTTCGTGAACTAAAAGTGCACGTTCTACGACAGACATTCGGAATTTTAAACTCAGCTAAAACAACCTTTTATTGACGACAAACGAAAATCGAGCGCTCACGTAAATAACAAGAATTTCAGACTTCTTACTCATTTGATAGTATCGCCGGTCTCGAGTAACGTACATGATATAAAATAAATGAAAGAATAAATGAAACTCCTCTGTGATATTTATAAATCAACCAGCTGTGTTTGATTATGAGAACGTGATAGAGTGGCAACTTAAATCCACTTTCTGAATAATTATAAAAGAATCTTTCTCCGAGAAATTGACCACACAATTCACTTAACCGGAGTTGATGTTCGTGAAGATCTCACGTTTCAGTGTTAATAGACTTCGTTCCTAATTATGACCGACATTTTCTAATTATCCTATTAACCAAAGTCCATTCAGCGGACCGCGGAATAACTCAACGTGCAATTTACGAAATTCACCACTTAACAAAGACGCCTGTCCGTAAGCGTTTGAAAATTCAATTTCGACGCTGGTAATTACGCGATCCATTCACATCTTTCGTAATACACGCGGATTATCCTTGAAACTCGTACCACCGAAATTCGGGCGGGAACTTTTCAGTGTTCATTTGCATCCGCCTGACATCGTTCCCCAAATTTTCGGTGCAGTTCCGACCGTTCTTCAAACACTGGATGCGTCGCAGTTGTTTCCATTACACTTCGTCCATGACCGCGTCGCGTCGCGTCATCGCTTTTTCGTTTTCCGTGTGTCATCTATTCCTGTTTACTTTAAATCCACTGTGCTCGGGCTACATATATGTACCGCGGAGTTCGAGGTCTGTTCGAGGCTGTTGGAAAGCTCAGTTTCGGTTTTCAGAATTCCTGCGTAGTGAATTTAATCCCACGCGCGCGTTCGATTTCGATTACGTAATTGACGAACGATACCCCGAAGCTGGGAATCGGCTGACCGTATCGGCGAAGGAGTTGAACAATTTTCGAGCACCTCTACAGTGAAACAGAAAATTGCTCAATTTTGCGAACGATAGAGTTTCCAGCAGGCATCATCATCTCCCGTCCTGACGAACCCTCAAACTCGGTTGGTGAAATATAATTGAATGGACACCTTCGGCCGAATTTAAGAACGGAACAATTTTTCATCTCGCGTGAAAAATGGAGCGACTGAATAGAGATGACGTCGAAAAATGGAGAGCAATTTCTTTGCGGGTCGTCCTTTCGGTGTCACCGCTGCGAACACCAATTTTCCCTTTTCACACCGAGAACCTCGGAACTCTATTCGATAAACGATATTTCAATTTCCGTCGTTAGTGAATTCGTTTCTCGACGTATGATGAAACACATTAAACTAATTGCTGCTTGTGCTAGAAACGTAGAGAGGTGAAATTTCGTTTTACTTACCATTCAGTTTCTGTTATGTTACATTTTAATTATCAGTGTCAATTAAAATCACATCGATCTAGCAATTTTCCCAATCGATTGATTATAAATCGTCCTAATTTATTGATTATCTCAAGAGTTACGGTAATCCGAAAAAACTGTAACCGTTGATGTCCCGTTAACCGTAGCGTCGGCTTAATTAACGACGCGGCGACACATAATTAGTGTAGAGTTTTTTGCTCATTAGCGCATATCGATTCCTGAGGCCGCGACCTGCGATGCTGTTTAATGACTTTTATCGCGGCTGGTGATCGCGATGGCACGCCCAGACTCTCTCCGATCTGGCGACGGATTACGCCGAAGTGACAATTTAATCGTCGGTTCCGTTTCACCCGCGCTCACGCTCACGCGATAGCCATTCGTTTCCGCGGAAAGGTAGAATGAAAAATGATTTTTTTTTCCGCCTCGACTCGGCCGCGGAGTCGCGAGGATTAATTTCGCTCGAGTGACCTTCCGGTGGCTGCGGCTGCGGCCGTTAAAACGGTTTCTATCGAGTTTCGCCCGGCTGATAGTCGCCGGTTTGCACGCGCCGATTAAATAACAGCTGCACCATCGAACAAATTAAATTGTTTTAATTGCAGAAAAGAAGTTTAGATTGAACGCGCGCGGGGTAGGTCTACATAAAAACTTCCTCATTCTAAGGAGACTTTAAACAAAATAAAATATCGTGCTCATGTGTCGAACAAATGCTATTAAAATCCAAACAATGCTATCATGCTATTAAAATCCGAACAAATGCTACTAAAATTAATCCAAATTTTATATATTATATAATATCTATTTATATAATATAATAATTGATACGACTAGAATATTATATAAAATATATATATGTAGTGGTAAATATGAGTTTCATCCCTTAAATATGATAGCAGTGCAAAGACGTCCTATTTGAGATACGATGATTAATCATAGCAATTACGAGCGATGATGAGTGGTTCTGATTGGTTTTGCGGTTTTGGGAGGAAACGGTATTCCGCGAAGGGAAACGTTTCCAGTAGAAGTGATTGAGGTAATTCAAGGGGTTGTTTCATTTTTTTCTTTTAGGGCTGATAATGGAATACTTGCTCTGCCGAAGGGTGCTTGAATGGGAGCTCGTTTTGCACAGGTTAATGAAAATGTAACGATAATTGATAGGTACGCTTTTTAATTCTACGTTACCATCAGTTTCCTCGAATATATGTAAAACAAAAATGAACACAGATGTAAAACGAGAATGGTGTAACAACGGCGCAGGTTACTCTTTATTGCATCATACAGTAAACGTGGCATTACTTTATACTGCTCTAGTCCAAGCTACTGATATGCAAATTCGTGTAATCCCATTCTTCAGTAACGTATGGCACGTGTTATTAATAGCATTAACGTCACGTTGTACATTGCACTACCATAGAAAATAGCTATGGCGTATTATTACCGCCTGTAAATAATATATCAGGTAGAAATAATTCATCTCGTGCACAATGCAACCATTAACGAATATTGGATGTAATGTTTGATTAATAATCGCGGGGCCACAGAGGAACGATAGAATCATTGATCTGAAACAAGATAGAGATGAAACGACGGGTATATTAAATTAATTTCTAGCAGTGTCATTTACACTATAATGAACCATGATCGTCCACCGAATTAAGAGACACACATATGACCTAATTTTTCTAACACCTACATTATATGATTGTACATCTTTTAATCTTTAATTCGGTTAAAATGTATGTCTGTAAAATCCAAAGAGAATTAAAACTGACATATATATATTTTGATTGAAATTTTGTTTATTGTAGAATTTCATTTTATTATATTATATTTGTGAGAATGTCTCAAAATTTTTTGAAAAAGCTGTGTGTAATAACAGTGTGCAAAACTGGTGCATTGTTTTGACTACGTTAACTCTACCTTGAAGATCGTATGTGATCTCGATATGAAAACATTTATATTCTGTGTAAAGAATTTAGTCTGTTGTTGCAATAGTTCGCAAGACTATAATTCCGTAGATTGGATTATCTAAAGTCTATAGGTATAGCGACAAAGTTTAAATAGTGGAGGAGGACCAGTCTGTCTCGCGGGTACATTAAAGTTAATTAATTTGATGATCAACGAATTATCGGTTTGTCCAATTACGATACTTATACGGTAAACCCAGATCGAATGCAATTTTTCTATCCTCAAGGGTACATACTTACATATACAGCGTAGTCTATCATGATCTAAACATAGACCTTCTTGTGTTGTATGAAATTTCTGAATATGAAATCTATCTTTAGAGTTCTTACAATAGAAATCTGTGATATTGATTGTTCAAAGACATCAATTAGATATTTTGACACGATGTTGAAGTGATCCGTGATATACGAACTCAATTCTCGCTAACATGTATAATATCACTGTTGACAAACAAGTAAGCAAAATGCACAATAGTTCGCTACATAAATTAATTACAATAATAATTCAATAGTAGCATAATACCATTCAATAAAATCACTGCTTATACATATTTCATTTTGATTAAAAAATTAGAATATCGAATACAACCATGTTACACCAGAATTATTGCTAAATTATGAGCTTCTTATATTTTTACGAAATTCAGATTGGGTAAAAGGCATAGAGAATGCACGTAGTATAAGAGAGTATAAAAGCAGAAAGCGAAGTGTAAAAGAAAATTGTATTCCTGCTTCGTTTCTTAAATGTGTACACTGTAAATGTAATTTACAGAATGATCTATTCTTCTATACGTCAATTTTTGTATAAAGCATCGAATGCAACCATAACTATAACCAATAACCGAACGGACATGTTGGCATGACTACAATTACCGGGTTACTATTACCGATACTCGAGGTATTCGCACCTGTTGCGGGCCGCCGTGGCCCGGTTACGCGTGTCATCACGCGATACCAATTTCTCCTCCTGTACGTCACGCCGCGCCGCGCCGGCAGAAAATCGGTACGCTGCAAAAATAGAAAACGCGATCGAAGACGCGGCCGTTCAACGATGCACGCACACATCCTCGTGATTCGAGGATGGAAAAGTTTTCGGACTCCCCGTCTTCCCGTTTTTCGTGAAACTTTAAGCGAGCACAATTTCCCTTTTAGTTTTTCATCCGCCAGCCCTGACCACGATTTACTGTCATCGTTGATTTTTATTACCCCTTAACGGCGTTAAAACGTAATTACGAATAAATTGAGAGAGCAGGTGGTCTCTTTTTGATGCAAATCGCATTACTTTTTGTTATCTAGTTACTTGCTGACATTTTTTCACCTCCCACCTTCCGTACTTTGATAAAAGCGCCGCGCTCCTTAATTGTTTCCGCACGTTGTTTGTTAATTAAATGGCAAATTGTCCGTGCGGTCTGTAATTAACTTATGCTTATTAACGAGTCAATGTAGAAAGATTTGCGGCGCGTGTTCATAATTAATGCGTCATTAAAAGCAGAATATGCAAATTACCACAGTAAAAAGCAGATATGTGAACAAATGATTATCATCGTTTACGCATCGCGTGTTCAATGCAAAATAATGTAAAAGTTCATTGCTTTTTATAAAAAAAATCTTATCTCGATTATTTCTATTTTTCTTATCATTTATTGTTCGGTGTAAACGAAATTTTTCATGAAGTAAGCACTCTTTTCCTTGTATGACAATGCAAAGAGAAGTCTGAAATGTCATAGCCGTCAAATCCGGTGCCTCTCGTTCCGTTTCTATAAAATCCGAAAGCATCGCGGACGGATCGTCCCTGAGTTGTCCGCCGGCAGTGGTGCTTACGGACGTTTGCACTGGATTACAAACTTTAATCGTCTTTAGTCGTGTCCGTGCCTCCTTCGTTATGTCTTAAAGCTTCGTTCTGATCCCGTAACATAAAAGCAGTTTGAATAAGAGAGGAAAAAGGAAACACTCGCCGCCATCTGCATAGCCGGTCCTTCAAATTCCAATCTAATGAATTTCGTTTCTCTTTCTCCGTGCCGCGGGGAGAGCGGATTAAACTCAATTCAATGGCGACTCGATACGACGGAAAATAGAGTTAAATCGGCCGCGGATCTAAAGAAAGCGGAAGCGCGACCTTGGCTCGGCGGCGATATTTCCGTCGATTTGTTTCGTCGGAGTGAACGGACACAGACGACACGCGTTCCGCATAGGGTGCAGGGTGTGGCGATTCAGCTGCAACCACGGAGGATTATCGGAAATAGTCCGTGAGCATTGTTGGCCGGCCTCGCTCACTCGGCGAGCGTTCCCGTGGAATTTTCACTGGAACGGAAACGTCACAGGGACTGCCACGGCGAAGATCGCTTATTCTTTATTCGATTCACTCGCGTAACAAAAGCTTCGTCAGAGATCGATTGACATTGCCTGATGGAAATTAGTTGAAACTCCCTTTGCACGTGACAAATTCTGAGATTCACTTGAAAGGTTTTAAAACCGAGTATTATTTCTTTAATGTCATTCGTCGACTTATTAATTTAAGCAAAAAAAAAACTATGGTTGAAGAAGTGTGAAAAAGGAATAATAAGAATTTGATGTAGGAAGATACTTATTAGACGGGGATGAAATTTTTAGAAGTGGAATTAATACAGTCTTGCTCGGAACGCGGGAAATTACTCATCTCGCTCCAACTTTTATTCGGTTCATTAATAATGAACGCATTATGGAAAGGAGTACGCTAATGGAAGTTTTTAAACTCTCTGGGGTATTTTTCTAGCCTGTTTTTCTTCCCGCCGACGGAGCCCGGGGTTTCGGGGATGATGTCACATTCAAGCTCGTTCACCCTAATCGATCTCAGGCAAATAAGCCGACGAAACGGGCCGAACAGGGATATAAGCCGAACGTGAATACGGTTGCACAGAATAAAAATACCTCGTAAGCGACGTTTCGCTGAGTCGAAATTGAAATTCGATTCTAAATTCGGTTTTTCTACTAATGAATGCCTGTATTATTATGTTGCAACTCTCCTGTCGCCATGCAAAAACTATTTGAGCGTCGCGTGACAGGAGAAATAAGCTGCCTGATTCTCGGTAATCAGATTTCATATTTAATAAGCATTCCAATGCTCCAGTCAATTGTTCAAATTGGAGTGGACGCAGATAATATTAAAAGTAGAAAGACATTTTTTTCTTTATCTTCCCATACATTTGTAATACTGACATTCGCACGCTTTAATATTAAAGTAACAATTGCATTGAATAATTAAAAGCAATATTAAAATGCTTTTAACTAAATTCAAAGATAAAAAATTCTTGGAATTTCATAAATGATTTGCGCGAAAACATTTTTGAAAACCTTTTTGTAATTCATTTATTTACTTAATTCTCGTAACGTGTCAAACGTAGCTAACTTAGTTGAAGGCAAGCAAAAAGAATCATGTCCATGTTGGCTTTTGATGAATTTTGTGGAAACGCGGTTGCGTTCTTACGCTGCGCGATGAAACAACGCGTAGAACACCGCGAATCGATAAAATGAAAACGTTAACAAGGACCTTGGTATTTTTCCCATACCTTTGAATTTCATACGTGGCTCGCAACCTTGCGTTAGGAAATTTCGCGTCGCGGGGAGAAGAAACAGCGCAGCCAGCCATCGTGGGCTGATCCTTGAAGGGTTTGCGTCAATTTTTGCATAAAAATAGTACGCGGATCGATAGGGAGAACAATGTAATAGTAAAATTATACAAACCTGGATACGAATGTCGAAAATTAATAGAAATGCTAATACCAAGAAACACGGGACAGATAGGCGAGGCGACAAATAGAACGCATATTAGCTGTACGATAGAAAATAAAATATATAAAAAGTTACACGAAAAGGGAAAAGGAAAGTAATGAAATTGAGGGTACAAAGGGAAATTGGAAACGAGCAGAACGTCGGGAAAACGAAAACCAATACCGATCGTATGAAATGTTATTATTAAATTGGCAAAATATATTAAATAAAGCAACAGGAACGTTCTAAATCAGAAGTAACAGGAATAAATAGAAGACCGTGAAAAGAAAAATAGCGAGTCATTGTGATCTAAGAATAGCTCGTGAGACGTACTTAGTGTGGCAAAAATAAATAGTTACAAAAATACCGATGGACATCTGAAGCGAAAAATAGAGAGACCGTGAATTTCCAACATGACAGAGTAGTATATCAAATAAATTACAAAGCTTTAGCGACAACGTAGACTGTAGAAGAATAGCATCGTATTTTGATTGGGAGCTTGGCTGTAATCTCGCAATCGTTCCTTTTGCAGAGTGTCCAATCTCGGACGAGGGGATGGAAAGGTTCGCATGTCCCACGGCGGACAGAATGGGAAGATACCATTGCATCGACGATCACGCCTTATGCGACGGTTTCATAGACTGCCCTACAGGCGAGGACGAGGATAGGCAAGCCTGCATGTTTTACAAAACTGTAAGTCTCTCTAATCAATCGTTCCGTGACCAGCTCTGGTCCGTAAATACAACACTATCAATATTCCACAATTGCCCTGCGGTTCTTATACGAAACTCTGCGTATCTGCATGCACGGCCGATATCCTTGAATTTCATCCGCAATTAAAAGTTAAAACGGGAACGTCGATGACTTTTGATTATTTTTATTATCCACGATTTTCATATCGGTATCATCCTTCATTTATTTATAATCCGTCTTAGTCCTTATTTATCAATTATATTGCTTTACATTGTTATAAACGTGAATAATATCTTCCGGTGATATAAATTAATAACTGCTTTAATGTGAAAGTATTTAATATAATTCCTACAATTTTGTAGAATTGTAATTACAGTTATACGTTTATGTTTATTTTATATTCTTTATTAGGTATTCATTATTTATTCTACGGTTTCATGTCTCAGATAAATGTGGAAGAATTTCTTCATGAATGATTTCCAATGTTTATTGTTTCAAGCTTTGCTCATGTTGCACCCAATTGCGCGCCTCTCAGGACTCTGAGAGCCTTTCAAATACTCGAACTTAATCCTCGTTTAACCGGGAATCTCAATTTACGCCGTTTAACGGTAAGAGAGTGTAGATCTGTAAGAAACCTCGTCTTCCAACGTACTTTGTAGCCGTTGCAACGAAGGCGTTGAGCTTAGCTTTTCTGCCAGCTTTCCCGACGGTAGAAAAAACAACCGACCGGATGGAAGGTGGTGAGGCAGAGATAGAAAAGGGGGATAGAAAGAAAACAATTGCTTCTGATTTCCACGAGGATACACGTGCGGAAGGTGGGCGCGACGCGACGGGGGAACGCGAGTCGATGAATGAGAGAGATTAGACCCGCTCCGTGGCTACTTGCACCGTTGCCGTCGCGTCGCTCGTAGAGATAAGTTTCACGCAAAAGTACGCTCGAAAAGTGGAACGAGTACACAAAGGCTGATGAGCTTGAAATACGTGAAACGCGAGTTCCTTGGATGAAAGGTTTCCAGACAACACTCGGAATTAATGAGATGTATAGATTGACCAAGTTCCTCTTTTTTCCTCTGCGAAGCGTTCCTCTTAATCATGAACCTTTTACATAGAAATCATAATTAAGCATTTCAAGTAAACAGCAGTATAAGAAACAAGTCAATAAATCTCCTGTCCTGTACTTTTCATTGTTCAACTCTCTGAGTTCCCAAGATTACTGCTTCATTAAACAGAGTACATTGAATTAATTTTATTTCTGAGAAACCTGAATGTGGAACAGAAGTAAAGAATTTATGAACAGAATGATAGACAATACAAAAGCAGATACAATCTAGTCAACATGCAATACAATTACATTTGCAAATACAAATTGCAAATAGAATATGAAGGTACAATTTTAATCGTAAGTTTTCTTCAACATCAATTGAAGAATAGTATTGAACTCTTTAGAGATTGAAAGACGAACATTGGTACGTGAAACTAACGTTACACATTAGTATGATTATTATAGATTTATGATACAACCATTTCATTTAACGTAAAGAACATAACACAGACAGCGACAACATCTCTGAGGAACAAATGCGAGTTTAAACTTACACATTAATTACATAAACACGCTACTCACGATCATACTTTGCCAACGTTCCACCGATGAACTAAGTTAAAACGAGTCAGTCAATCTATCAAAAATATTTACTTTCCACCTGGAGTACTTTCAACTCACTGTTGAGCTTGACTATCTTCTTTTTATCAAACGTTGTAATGGACTTGGTGAAATTTATAAAAGGCGAGGGAAACAGTTTGTGTGAACTCAGCAGTCTTGCACTTCTGTGTAACGTACCTCATTAAATAAGAGAGTTTCTACTAAGCTACGATACTGACTACAGAGAGGACTGTTCACTATGAAGTGTGCAAACACTTAATTAATTAATAGTAACATGCAACACAATTACGAATGGCGATTGTTTATTTCGCAGTAACTGCACACTATTATTACCGAGTGTACGCATCAATATTAAATCGTCATTGAAAGCAGCTTAATGATGCAACGCAATTCAGTATTTTGTGGCGAACGTTATAAAAAACTTTTATGCACTTTCCGTAATTATACAAACTTCTCTCGGTGAACGAAGTTACGACTTGTTTCCATTATGAAACTAAATAAATTTAGTAGTTACAAAGTATGATGAAAATTCTGTTACGGGATTCCGCGTAGAGATTGTTCGGTAAGGATCTACCCAGATTAATCGCGTATTAAAAATCAAATGAAACTGTACAAACAGTTAGTTAATTAAGTAGGAAATCGATCTACAATCTATGTGCCAAACAGTTTCCATTTGGTTGCGCGGCGTACAGAAACGTATCCCGGTATCTACAATTTAAATTATGTGTATTCCACGACAGGATAAGCAAATAGTCGATCGCTCCCGCACGGTGTATCCACTTGTTTCATTTGGCAAACAATATCGGAGTCATAATTCGCTTAATCAATAGTGCGCCTCTTACGAACCGTTTAACGTAACTGGCAAACAGGAGGGGAAGTATAAAACGAGATAAAGGGAAAAGGGAAAAACAGTAACGTACCAGAGGGAAATCTGAGCAATGTCTCGCCCTCTCGCGGATTTATCATCCCTAACATCCGGCGAACGGTTGACCTTTCCCTCCGGGTGATTCTGGCCCCCGGTTTCACCGCCGCCTCTTTGAAATCGATATTCGCTTCTTTTCCTTCCGGCTGCCTGGCCGAGCCGCGCCGCGCGCCGCCGTCGCCACTCTCTCTCTGTTCTCTGCTACCCCCGGCTCTCCTAGTTCCCGTCGGAACGGAAAGACTGGTACGCAGAACGGAAACGGGACTGGCTGCGTGTTGTCGAAACGGGGAACTGGCCCGATCGGCGTGGGCGTTTCACGGGAACTGATTAAAAGTCAGACGCGACCGACTCGCGCGGCGAATTGGATTTTCTTCGACGTACCGCCGAACTTGCGCGCAGACGTTAAAGGAAAATGTTCCCGAACTAAGGAGTTTAATCAATTCTCTATTGTGCGACGAGCGGGGTTCGAAATGCCTCCTTGCAACAATTTTTTAATGAAACTTTGCTCTATGCTCAAATTATCTCCTCCGATCGTCATGTTTTATTCTCTTATGATTAAAAGACTATAAACGATAAATGTTTTCTTCCCATTTCTCCGTATCTTAAATAATGAGATTCACCGTAGATATTTCTATCGTTTCATTGTTAAAATTCATAGTAAATGTAACTTTGCTAGCTCGTGCAGAAACGTCGTTCGACGGGGCTGCGTTCGACGTTTGCGATCTTGCAAGCGCTGCTCTATCAGAAGCAAACGTTTGTTCTCTGTCTCTGTTCCAGACGAAAGCTCACCTTGACGTATTGGCAGATGCCATTTTGCGATGGGCAAGAGGACGCTAATTCCTTTGTTGACGATGAACCTCTGACCTATGCATAAAATCATAAGTCTGACGAGTTTACTTCTTTATACGTTCATCTATATATATACATATATATATAAAGAAAAAAATTATAAGTATAATATATAATATGTATATGATATTGTACATTCCAGCGTACGTGTACACCAGCTCGTGTACTCGTATGTTCAGGGCTTTCGTTTCATTCCTCGTTTCTCTCGCGAGTAATTTCACAGGTGCAATGGAAATTTTCATTTCTCCATGTAACGAATGTGATTAAATGTATTTTCGAAACAATTTGGAAGGAATACTAATAATACAGAGTTTCGATCGTTAAAACCATAAAATAAATTATAACTCTGTTACGGTGTTTCAAATTCTGAAGTTAATCAGTTTAAACTGAATATTCTGTTGCATTATTATATTATATATTGTTGAAAGTGTGTTCCAGCACAGTTTACTTAATTTTAACAAAGTTAATTATGTTCTAATAAAATGTAGTGAAGAATTGTAATACAAATTCTTTTTTAATTCATGCAATATTCCAAGATAAATCTTGTGGTATTGCTATCAGGTGGTATTGAACATTTCAAACGACTTGGGGGACGATGAAGAACGTTGGTAGAACGTCGAAGCCCTCTGCGAACTCGCGAGAGGAACGCGCGTTGACGAACGACCCTGCCCTCTCATTCTCCCCGTTCTCCCGCATCGTCTATTTTGCAGAGAGTTTTCCCTTTTTCCCGCGTGCGTAACCGTGAACGCGCAGAGAAAGAACGTATGCGTGAGTAACGTGTGAACGATTATAGATAGACAGAAAAATAAAGAGCGCGCGCGAGGTTGTGATGTTCACGTTGAAATCAAACTCAGGGGAACGTAAAAGATGAATCGTCTCTCGAGCAGCGCTCAGCTCACAGCAGAAAGAAAAAGTGTGTGTGTATGTATAAGGGCGGAACTGCGGAGCTCGTGCTCGAATCTCCGAGGTGGGGTGCGGATTGATTCTCAATGCGGCCCCGTTCACGCGCGTGTTCCCGTATCCTACGCGAGAATATACCCGTTGATAATTCGGCAAAAGCGATGACAGTAACACAATTATTATAAATATCATTTTTTTTTTATTGATGCGACTGTTTTCGGTGCAGAATTTCGCTCAGGTTCTCTGAAATAATAAAACGCGGACAGTAAACCAAGGAGACATTTATTCCTGGATGACATTTCCTAACGAAATCTGCTTTCTGTTGATACTCTATATAACGTCGTGTAATTTGACAGATACATACGTATTATATACACACGTTGTACGTAGATGTACTATTTCACGCTCGAATAAATGGACACGTTCTGCGGCTTGACGGTTAGAGAAGATCCGACGACGAGAGGGAAATTGAGGAACGTTTCAATTTACATGGGTTTCCGACTGTTCCTGATACGCACGAGATTACTGAAAAGCTCCCGAACGTACAGACATGTTCATTAATTATAGAATTGCTTCAGAACTATCCTTTACAAATTCTGTTTTTATTCGTTTTATAATCATTGTGCTGTAGATTCTGTTGTCGAAATCATATACGAAAAGACGTATAAAAAAAGATCTTAAAAAAAGGTAAAAATCCATCGTTTCGTTGGAAGGATTCTCGCTAAGGACAAACGCGTCGCACGATGCCGTCTATGGCAAGCAGGTATCTTCACATTAAAAGTACAAATTAAAGGTCTCCGAAATGTCGAGAGCCATTTAACAGAGCGGCCACAGTTGTCGGCGATGGCATTAAACGGAACCGTTTCACCGATTCCGTGATAGTCTCGTCGTGCATCTCAGAAAATTAACCAAAAGACAAAAACAATCGAGCGATTCCCGCGAACCGTGTGAACTCAAAAGAGAGAGAGAAAGGGAGAGAGAGAGAGAGAGAGAGAGAAAAGAATAATAATAATAAAGAACCTTTGATGACTTTATTTTCGTACACGAGAGCTAACTACAGACTTCGAAGACTGAGAACGAACCACTTTTAATTTGGCAAGGGTAACCGAATCGGACGACGACTTCCGATCGGCGAAGCGAGACGTTCGACACGGTGTCCATTGCGTTGATAGTTCACCCATTTATGCTCGAGTCACGCGGTAGGTCGGTTGATTTTCAGATATACTGATCAAAGAATGTTTGGGGAGAACGATACGATAATGAAGTCGATTGAGCAGTCATAAATGGGCTAAATCATCCCCCTCTTGATTTCCTCCTGCTGGACTTTTCCTGTTACGTCCCTTAACGATCCCTTCTTCTTCTCCTCCTCCTCCTCCTCCTCCTTTCCCTTCTACTTGTTTCTTAATCCCTCGCCTCGTTAGAAATACGTATTTAATAGATTAACAATAAATGTTTGACTGTGTCTCAGGCCATGAGCTACTTTATTCTGCAACTCTATCCGTGAAATGCGTGGACAGGCAATGACTCGCAAGCTTCATTATATTATCCATAATAATTATTTGTAGTATACCTTGAAACCTTGGAATAGGAAGTATAAACGAAACCTAGAAACTGTAAATACGAGGTAACGAAATTTAAAAAAAAAAAGTGATTGAATTCCAATTTTATGAGAGATCCTAGTTAAAGTATTCTTCTTCCTTAAATATAAAATTGTTAGAGACGCATTTCCAAGGTTTCCTAAATTAATCAGCTAGGACAGAATAATTCTTGTTACGCGTACGGAAAATAATCAAGTCCGTCGAGCCTGTCCGCGCAATAAAAAATGTCTAGGCTGTCAATGATTGAGGCAAACGAGACCCACGTTTGTCGTACTGCCGTGTGTTTGCTCGTTTATTTAAAATACATGAAACTGGAAGAATGGAATGCGAAGAAAACGCGTGGTCCCGGGATAGTGCGCAGCCTTCTAGAATTTGGTTGGTTCATTTTGTTTCGAGCCTAGCCCGTAAGGATATACGACAAAAAATAAAAAAACAAGAACTCCTAGGATTAACGATATAAATAATAGTAATAATAATAATAATAATAATAATAATAATAATAATAATAATAATAATAATAATAACGATAATGGTAATCTTATTCTACCGAACTATCGATGTTATGAACTATGTATAAATATAAATAAACGGCGTCTACAGTCTACATTGTACATCGTACCGTCTGATTTTACGCTCGAACGGTCGAGACGAGACAGGCGGAAGCGACCACGGCTCTCTGCTCTCTCGTCTCTTCGGTCCCAAGAATTAATTCCTAAACGGGCATCTGGTCCGACCCGACTCGATACGTTTGTCTTTCCCTTCTACTACTCTCTCGTTGCGTCGGTGGCACCGCTCGTTCGAGAATTCGCGGGCATATCATCATTCGTCTTTAGCTAACACGTCAAGTGCCCGATTCGTAGACGCTTTTCAGTCTCTCGTGGTTCGACGTCGTTCCGAACGTAAATGGAAACAAACAATCGTTTAATCGAGTCGGCTGAATACAGGGTTGCACCCTTAACCCTCCACCACCCATTTCATTCAATCTCGCACCGTCGTTCATTGAAGATAAAAACTAACGTCGAACTAACGGAGAATTATTAGTTATTATAACGATGTATCAATTTATTATTATTCTGTATAAAATCAGAAATAAAAAAAACTCCTATTTCCGTTTTATTTTTTAAATAGCCATTGTAGAACTTTAATCTTGCATACGAGATCGTCTAATTACAATGGAATTTACTTAAAAGAGTTTGGGTGACGGAGGGTTAAGTGAAATGAACATATCAGAATCTACGCTGCATATTTTTCATCAGAACAGAATATTTTTAATATTCGCCGAATGGACGCGACGCGCAGATTCCAAAACGCGCTTCCTGTTGCTCCGGCGACTATTGTCTGGGTGTTCAACGCATGTGATGTTTCAACAAGTGTTAAGCGCCTAACTGGTCGTTTTAAGAGTTATACAATGATTTAAAGGAAAATTCGATCAAAACTTCTGTTCTATAATTTCTTAATGAAAACTGTAAGTAAAATGTGATACTATTTTTAACTAAGATCAATTTCAACGTTGGTTTTAGACTGTCTACAAAAATTATCTATAATAATAAAAAAAAATGCAAGAGCTCAGGCGTGTTTATGCAATAAATATCAAAAATGTATATGTCGTATAACAAATGATTGCAATCAATTTTCGGTTTTCCTTAAGACATTGTATCGAATGAAAGACTACAATGTAACGGAAATTGTAACAAATATCTCAGAATTTTCAGGCCTTTTTTAAAACCCATCACAATGAAAAAATGGCAGTAAAAAAGCACTGAAAGTCCAGTACCAGTGGAGATACGACCGGTTGGGCGTTGCAGCGTGTTGCAGGAATGGTTGCAACTGATTGATATACGCGCATACGACCGCAAGCTATCGCGTAAGCCACAAAAAATGCAGTGTTGGTTAACAGCAAGCTCGCAAACTGTTTGCTGCACGCTGATACACGTGTGCAGGCGTCCTATACAGACAGGCACACACACACACATGCACACATAAAATCTGGCACACCGTGTCGACTTCTCTTTTGATACGACGACTAGCTTTAATTTCCAGCGCTGGTAGATACACACGAAATTCCCATTATTGTCCATCACGGAGAACAAACGAGGGTGGGGAAAAAGGAAAAGTGAAAAATGTACACTCTGCTGGATATACAAATACATAATACATACACATGCAGACCGCTGCTGCATTTTTATTGTCGCCCAGCTTCGAGGATATATTTTTAGACGATATATCTCTGTATATATATATAGACACACACGAAGGGACACGAATACACGTATACGTGGATACGAGAGCGCATGAAAAAAATATACTGCGTCAATTTTTCGACCGAAGACCTCTTTTCCCCTTTCTTTTTTTCTTTCGCCCGACGGAACAGCGCTGTGCCATCGAATCACGACCGAAACTCGCCTGTTTTTTTTCGTGCTTCTC